TCATTGGCTTATCTAGGGCCAGACCCATTGTTCCATAATATTCTCTAAGGGCCCAGAATCCTACTAAAATACTAATATATCTACTTCCTATTTGGTTTTTATACTAATTCACTCAAGATCCTATATCTTATGTGAATTAGGACTCTCAGTTCTAGAAGGGCAAGTAGATCAAGTCTTTCCTATTGACTAGGATTCTACTATTATGGACTCAAAGTCCTACTAGGATTCGAAGATCTTGTGACTCCTATATAAAGAGTTCCTGCCTCTCACAAAGTATTCAATCTCAATACCTCTTACTTGCAACCAAAGTTCTTGCTCTTGAGAACTAGCACCTTCGTCGTAGCTCTATTCTCTTATTAGACACCACACTGGTGCTTTACGTAAGCTTCGCACTTGCTTTCTTTGTGTGTAAGGTCAACAGATTGTCAGTGGCCTCAACCTTACAAGATCAAATCTCATTCCGTAATCATAGATTTTAGGATCTACAACACACTGAAAAAAAATAAAACCATATTTAGAAGGTGAAGATGGCTCTTAAAGTTCTTCCAATCCAAGGTTTTTCTAAATCTATCAAAGTTCTTTCAAGCCAAGCATTCCAAATGACCAACTAGGAAACATATAACCTGTGTTTTTCTGTACTTGCTGCTTCTCTTCTACTGCTACTTCAACATCACTATGAGAATAATCGAGAAACCGTTCATAAACCATGTGGTTTCGATGCCCTTATGATTTCCATCATGTTTTGCTTCACGTGTGCTTTTGGTGTGTCGTTGATCAGGCACAAGCCACAACTTGAAGCACTTCGAAGGTTTTACTTCGTAATCTCAATGGTTTCCATGGCTTCAGCTTTGTCGATTCTAGCCTTGGCCTTGTTTTCTGAAAGTGTCGAGTTGGTTTCTCTAGGAAATATATTGTGGCAAAATGAAGACGGAGAAGATCACTTAGAAAAACTGGTCCTCATCCTGAAGAAGAACTCTCATAAATTACTTAAGTCCTAGTTTAGTAGAATTACTTTAAATCTTTCTATGATACGTAATATATTCAATATAATTTTGCTCTTTTATTAAAAATTTAGACTGACCCGAAATTTCTATTAGTAGTTCTAGGATTTTGTCAAGATAGTTCTTTAGATTTATGACTTGGGTTTGATTAAAATCTTGTGGTTCTGGGCCTAGTTGAAATCTATATTATTCTCTTTTATGATTCATGCATTAAATTTTTAGGGCAATACAGGCATCTTGGCTGATGGCTTTAATCTATATCGTTTTCAATAAATTTCATGGTTTTCAGAATCAGGAAAGTAAAATTTATGTATGACAGCTTCACCTTGTTGGATGTCTTGTTCTTTCATTCAAATCTGATAGAACTGTGAAAGTTACTGAATTTTAAAACCAAATACCCTATACAAATAATCTTTGAGGTAATTCATCCAATACTTGGTGTGTCAATAATCTTTGTGGCAATTCATCAAACATTTGGTGTGCAGATGCATTTGGTGAGTGGAAAAGCTAATCAAGAATCCCAAATTCTGCTGACTGGCTAGTTCTTATGACGATCTATCCAACAGAACTGACAGTGTGGCCGGACTCGCCACCGGCTAGTGAACCCAGATCCTGCCGATGGTAGTTAGCTGACTTACATGCCGGCCAAATTTTTATTCTTTTCAGATTTTTTAAAAAAGATGAATAAAATAAATTGAAATTGAAGAAAGGGGTTTAAATGTAATTTTCTAGTTGGTGAAGCTAATTGTGATATGTTTGTAATTTAGGGGTGTAAGCAACATTAATTTTATAATATATATTATGCAAGGCGATGAGAATGCCCTTTTACCTTTAAAAATAATGTCTTAATTTTAATGATGGTTGGGAAAATGTTTTTTTTTCAAACTTTTTGGGTGGAAAAATATTTATGCCAAACCTTGGGTGGGAAATTGTTATTCTCCCTTTATATAACTTTTTAAATTAAAAAAATAATTAATGTGCCATAAATGGCACATATTATGAAGGCGAAGCAAATCTTAAAATGTACCTTAATTACATATATTATAATGTTAAAATGATAAATTATACATGTTATCTTTTTAAGTAAAGAAAATCAAGACATATTTTATTTGATTTTTTTAAAATAACAAAATAATGTTTTACTTTAAAATTTTAAAGCTCTTTTAACATATGTACATAAAGAAAACCAAAGAAATCTGAAATATCACATTGGTATTACATTATTCATACTAAACTGAAACCCACTTATTATACATATATTGGCTAGCTTCTGATAGAATTAAATCGAAATTGACGTTACGTACTATAATTTATATACGTATTGACTTGTGGTATTACTGATGTGATGCCATTGTAGTATTGAAGGACTCCCTCAAAGATTAAACACCGTGAAATTCTTCTGAAATAAGAAAACAATTCTAAATCAAACAAAATTTTATTTTCCACATAAGTTTGGACTTTTTATGTAAATAGACCTCTCATCATAAGTTAAGCACTATATATATATTTGAGAGAATGGCGAAATTCCTAAAACACTTTTACCATCCATGTGAAACTCACTGCAAAAAACATCTGAACCAAGAGAATCTCCACGAAGAAAAAAAAAATGCTAATGCAATTCAAGAACAAAAGCCACTCTGTTAAAACTGCATAGTCAAATACATCAAAACCAAGATCAAAGAAAACATAGCCAGCATAAAATGCCCCATATTGTACTATCAACAAGTTCTGGATCCTCTCGCCGGCTGGGAAATAATCTCACCAACTGTTTTTTCAAATTGTTGTGATGTACTCTGTGATAGTTATGCTCTAGGGTTTGAGAGGAGCTATTGCCCCTAATGGTAAGTGTAGGGAGTTGGTGATGAACGAGCAGGGACGTAGTCAGGATTCTGAGTCAGTGGGTTCAAAACATCAAAGTTTATAAATTTACAATAAAATATTTACTGACGTAATAAGCATAAAAAAATGTACTTTTAAAAGTTATTTATACCAAATTATCAATTCTATAACTGTCCTCGACGATTTTTTATATTCTGAAAACGTTGCATAATTGCTTCATTGAAAATTCCATCAAATACCTCTCTCTCAATTTATGTAATAAGACAATCATTTAACAATTGATCTCCCATTTGATTTTGTAGTTGATTTTTCACAATCTTCATCACAAAAAAAAGCTCTTTCAACATTGCAGTTACAACATGTAATATCAATGCTAATTTCATGTCTAAAAAGATAACAACACAAACAAAAACACCCTCCTTTTCTGCACTATAGTCCAACCGATTTGCATATTCTCTGAACCAAATGGGATTAAAATGACGCATTAAATTTTCAATTGCTTGCTTTTTAAAATTATGATTGTGTGGTTGGCAATGTCCTTTTTGCAAGTATACCTTTCTCACTTTGTCTCTATCATTAGGATGATATTTTAAAATTTTAATCCTCAATCCAGGATCTGCAAGAAGACTACTCAAGTTAAGCTTGATATATATTTGTCTTGAATTAGATTCTATGGGCTCATTGTGAACACTATCGTGACGTCTTATGTTTTGTTCAATTGATGGTTTTTCATTAGAAAACTTTTTTTGATAAAAAACTTGTTCATAACTAAAAAAAATAAAAGAATTTTTATTATCAGAAATATTATTTATTTGCAATTACAATTAAAAAACAACAAAATTTATCAAAATTCAACTCATAACTTAGTTTTTTCAAACAATTTCTACTAACCCAATAAAATTTAACTCATAGACCCATGAAAATTCATCAAATCTAACTCTAAATAATCAAGCAACTAACCAATATATCGAAATTAAACCAAGTCCCCAAATCTCTACAACATAGGGTTTCATCAATTTTTTAAACCATATTCAAAATTAACTCAATAACTAACCACAATTTATCAAACCTAACTTAAAACAACAATTAATTAACTCATACCTCAATATAAACAAGATTAAATCAAAACCCACATCAAAATCTATGAATTATTTCAAACTCATTTATTAAACAAAATAAAAACTCATAACTCATGATCTTTCATTAATTAAGAAAGCTAAAAGAAAAGAATTAATTTTAAGTAAAAAAATAAAAATAAAATTAGTATCATCTTACCTTATAATCTAAAGGAGTAGTCTTTCTTAAGTATCAAACCAAAGGAAAAATATAATATGAAAGCAAAAGTGAGAAAATAAAGAAAAATTTAAAAAGTATTAATTAATAATTTATTTTGTGGGGTCAACATAAAGTTAAGTGTTGTTAAAATTGTAAAATCTATAAACTATTCATACTTTTTTAAAATTTTTAAAAAGTTTAGTGGGTTGAATTGAATCCACAAGCCATTGTGTGGCTACATGCCTGTGAACGAGTGTGAAGAAAAGTGAATGTCCAAATTGTAAGGAACTAATATCGTTGTCGGGGAAATAAATGGACAAGGTGTCCTGATCATGGACACTGGACATTGTATTGAGCTTCGCGAGGGCTGTAAATCTATCAGATACAAGTTTAACATGAAAATACTTCTCCATATTCTGAGGAATTAAAAACCTTTTTTTTTTTTTTAAGTTGTAAGTTTGATCTTCTCCCATAAGTTATTTTTACACTTACTTGTGGTGAGAGGCTCAAAAATATCTCTATTATATTTTATAAACTTTATTTGATCTGCTCTTGTATGGTTTTTTTTTTTTTTTTTTTTTTTTACATATATAAATTAATACTAAAAAACTCTTTTACACTCATCCCAAATAGTAGTCTTCCCAACACTCTCACTTTCCAATAAGTGTAAAAATAACTCTAATTTTGAAATAGTAGACTTTTTTTTAAATTCTAATTTTGAGTATAGCATAAAACTGTTTTTTTATAGTTTTCATGTTATCCACAAGTATTAATACGGTATAAATAACTTAAATTATAAATTATAAAATATTGTTACAATCCAGCATTGCAGAAAATTAAAGAAACAACAGAATGTGATAAAAAGGAGCTTAATCTTCATGGTTTTCACAGCTTCCGCATGCAGAGAAATACTTTCTGATCAAGCTGAAAGTCTGAGACAATTGAAGGATTTCCTTTCAGCATCATCAAAAGCCCACTAAACGAAACATATATCTCCCTGAAAAAATTAATATATATATATAGATGAATTTATTAAGTTTGTATAAAAAATCATATAGTCGAATCCAGCGCACATCAAGTGTGGCAACTTCGTACTAATACGAACTACTCAGTTCAACTGATTGGATTGGATTAGATTAGATTAGATTAGACAAGAAAGTCTTAGATTCAAATCCAGCTCATATCAAGATTCAGATATATATATATATATATATATACATACGCTTTGATATTTGCTCCCGAACCCTCCTCTAGGATCCTGTATATCTTCCCATACATGATGTATTCAAATTTATCTGCTATTGTCTCTCTCCCGCTCTGCAAATAGAAATAAAATTGTAACAATATGCTAATATTAGGTTACACAATTTCAAATATTACTAAATAGAAAGCAGAACATTCAATAAGACTCAATAAAAAGAATGTCACTCACAATCAATTTCTTATTTCTGTGATTACAATTTAAAAGATTAAAATTTAGGGTATCCTTAATTTACAATTCCATGCTAATAGGGATATTGACCACTGGATGTATATTCAATCGTTAACTTTAAGACACTGTGGAATTAGTCGAGGTACACACAAGCTAAATCGAATACTCTCGGTCACAAAAAAAAAAAAAAAATTTACAAGTCCAATATAATTCTTCCTTTATTACTGAAAATAAACCAAGATTTTATCTTAACTATAGCATTTGATCAGTACACTATCATTCATACTAACATTTTATAAGATTAGTATATAATATATTTTTCATAGAACTGAGATTAATTATCTACATTAAGCAAAAAATTAAAAGAAAACGGTTTTTAAATGCCTTTTAAGTTTTTAAGACTCGTCAATAGAAGACATTCCCAAAAACTAACACAACCATGTGGATGGTTTTAAAAAATGTCACATACATAAGACATAATATTTATTGAACGATCTCAGCTCAATGAGATGTGATATCATTAATGCAAATTAAGAGAGGAATGTTACCTGAGAGTAATACTCGGAGACAGTTGAACCATCTTTGTTGATTGTAGGAGTTAAAAGAACAACAAACTTTTCACTTTCCTTAACGGGATAAATCTCAGTATTAATATCAAGCAACATGTACATTTCAAGGCTCTCACTGTCAGCTTCTATGCGAGACACTGCACAAACAAAATCAAGATACTCTGCGCATGAAACAATTAGGCAAAACAAATAGAATAAACTTAATCTAATTAATAAACATGTATGCTTTGTCTTGGTTCGTTGGATTCAAGATGACCTAAAGGCGAATAGTTATTAGCTTGTTTTACTGTTTTCAGCGATTATCTCTGAAATTGACCAAAGATGTGGCCAACCAATTTAAAAGATATCACCATTACTGAAAGGATTGACTTTGAATATAAATATTATCATTATACTAACGATCAACGCGTTTTTTTCTGGTCAATCTCTACACGAAAGTGCTGCATCACTAGAAAGCAGCAATACGCTTTTTTTACTTTGTTTTGTTAATTCAATTTCTTCAAAACATTCTTATCCAATTTAATCTTCCACAGAAGCGCAAAAAGAAGTCTCCTATCAAATAAAAAAAACACGCTAATCCCTGGAGCTAGTCAAAACAAGACTACCTGACATAGCTTAGCTGGTCACCGAAAGTATCGAGATGGAGAGTTCATGAGTCAATCCAACCACAAAACTTCGTCTTTCTAGCACTAATTGTTACGGCGACTTCAAGTGTACAGTTAAAAGACAAAGGCACCACCAACAAAATTTGGGTTGTGCAATTATTCAGTGGGGAATGAAAGGGGATTAAAACTTTAAGTTATCACACTAGTTCACTTCAAATTCGATGTAGAGGAGTACTACACCAAACATTAATCAACAAGAACCCAAAGAAAGAGAAAAAAAGAAAAAGGAAAGAACACATCAAAACCTTTCCCACTGATACTTCAGTTCAGTATACACGAAAAAAGGGGAATCATCTCCTTTTTCCCTATCCCACCTGTACAAAACCCTTGACAAGTGTTGTTCAAATGCCTTATACATGTCAAATTACTGGGTATTATTTTATCTTCCTTTATTAAAGTAATTCTAAGTGACACTTTTGGGACCCTAGCAAGAGTTCTGGTTTGGGCAACTCAAAACTGACAAAAAAGATTCCACTGGGAGTGCTACAATTTGCTCATGTACATTTCAATATTTCATTCCACAAAAGAATGTACAAAGAAATTCGGAGGACAAAATATCCTATTTTTAAATAAAAGAAGTTTTCTTGCATGACACTCGTTAACTAAGTTGTGGCCCTACTGAGGTACCAGTAGGGAATTTCTCAATGAGCCACTAACAGATGCCTTAGTCATATCTTGTCTTCGTATCCCAAGTGCCTTGGCCAAAGATCTCTTCAATAATGTTGCATGTAGGCAGGAGATCAACACCTTTTATCGGACTTGGATACCTTCCATCCCAAACTTTAGCATCACAGGAATCCAATAAATTTACATGACCAACCAGATCATTACACTCGTCAAGTTTACCATGCAAACTTTTACAAAGGTCAGTCTTTGCTCCACTTAAATGCAAGGCATGTACAGCATCAAGTGGACCACAAGAATCGACCATGTCATACTCAAAAGACGTACACGAGTCATCTTGAACACTAAGACTGTCACCAGCTCTCCCTGTACTTGTATCTACATGTGGAACTACAGAATCAACCCCATCCCCATTCGATGACATTTCCATGCATGACTGAGATAGATAATCTAACCCATAATCTTCTTCAGTTGCATCAGCACCAAAATTTCCGACATCTCCATCACTGTCATCACCATCATCATCATCTTCATCAGAACAATCCTCTTCAGAGTCTGCTAGCTCATCTTCAGCAACAGGAGACACAATGGCAGAGTCTTCATCTTCTCCTGAAACTTGAACATCATACTGATCCCCATGATTTCCATGCCACTCATCATCATCGCTATCGATAGCCAGAGAGTAACTTCTATTCTGAGTAGCCCGCCTCCGGAGCATGAAGACATTGAAATAATAACTGACTATTTCTTTTTTGGTTCTGGAAGGGAACACTGCTGACAAGTGCTTCCAAAAATTCCTACCTAATGATGCAGGATTAGAATAAACAGCATCATGAAAGGCCTGTTCCTCTTCTTCAGTCCATTTCCAGGACACCACCTCTCCCATGTCACATAAACCCAACTTAACAAATTTTTCATGCCCAAGGGATTTCAAAAGCTTTTCCCGTGCTTCCATGATATGCTGTTGTACACATCTGACAGAGCCCTCGTCCAGGCAGTCGCAGTCCATACTGCCGTCTCCAACCTTGTCAGTGTTCTGTGCAGACGAATTTGAGTCAGGCATCGGAATAACACAAGTCCCCATCAGCTTCTCTTCATAGTCATTGTCAACATTGTTGTCTAATCCCAGATAATTTGAGGAACTGTCATTCATTGTGGCTTTACAATCTGATATGTTCTTGTTTGTGTAGGGGTCCCAAGATGGAAGGCTGGCCTGATGATTTGGTCCAAGAGGAACTTGTTTTTTGGGGGAGCGGTCCAAGACAGAAGAATAGGAATTATCAAATGGAACAAATATTCTCCGTGGGAAGTCATATCCAAAATGTTCTAGCGAAAGAGATGCATAAGATGTTGACTTGGACCCAACATCTTCCTCACTGGAACTGCTGGTGAATTCATTAACAACAGTTTCACTTTCAGATTCCCTTTGCCATCCATGTTGATAAAATCCATCCCCATATTCACCTGGTTCAAACAAAAATACTATTAGTTCAAGTAAAATTTCAACATTTAAAAAGGTTAGCACTTATATTTCAACCATCGTCTTACCCGAAAAAACAGTTTCACTTATATTACAAGGAACTTGTTGATATTGAGTCAGCTTATTGTTAACATCAAGCTGTCTTGAATGTTTACAAGGTAGCTCCTGGAATTCTTCATCATCAAAAGGCCGCTTAAATCCCATGTCTTTAACCTTAAGCTGCAATATAATCACTTAAGAGTCAAGCCACAATGTCTACGATACTGAACTACAGACAACGGTACACGCAGTAGTTCTAACAAGCATTGTTGGTAATATCACATTCCCAGTCTCTGTTCCTTTTTATTTTTTTTTTATAAGAAAAGGTTAAATCATTTACACTAAGAATTCCAAAATTACAAAAACGTGATTAAATGTTATAAAGCATGAAAATGAAAACCAAAGTAAGGGAGTATTGCCACATTCATTGTAGACTGTAGTTCAAATAAATCACTATTCATCAAAAGAATTCAAAACATGCATTACCTCGATGGGTATTGCTTACTGTCAAACACTCCGAAAAGGCATAAATAAATTGTAGGCAGTAAATAAACAAGTACACTTACTGGTAAGTAAAACTTGATAATCTAGTAACATAAAGAATAATAAAAAAAAAAAAAAAAGCTTAGGAAAATGATATTCACAGTAATTTAAATCAATTTTCAATTTTCTATGAAATAAGCTTAATAATAAAAACTCAAATTAATAGAAAAAGATTATACCTCAACAGATATGTCGAGATCAAATTTCAGACGACTTGAGACCCTTAAAGGCTTAGTTTAGACGAAATCAGACGGAATAATACCCTAGAGAAGCTTAATTTGACGTGAATTTACGTTTCCCCAATTGACATATAAAAATACAAAGAAACCCTATTTTATAGAAACCCTAATTTTTTCTACAGAAACCTAACCCTAGAGTCCCAATTTACGGTCAAAAAGACAAATTAACGACACAAAAAAACACGAACCAGTTTCGAATCGATCAAAGGAACCAAACCCCTCTCGAAATTTACAGATTTGAAACACCCTAACGAACCGAAAAATTCGAAACCTAGAACGGAATCAGATCGAGACTTATCTACAAAATTAGAATCGGATGAGGGAGAAATATTAACATAGATCGATAATAGAATTTAAAAACACGAGAGATCGAGAGATTAAGGGTCTCAATTGAGGAGATCGAAACCCTAACCCTAGGATTGTGTAAAATCAACGACTGGGGTTAAAAGAGATACCTACAGATAGAGAATTATGCGAATTGAAAGAAAATATTCGTCGATTTGAAGATTAAAGCAAAAACTTCTATGAAAAACAGAGATCGATTTTGGGGAAGATTGGACGAAACAATGAGTCGATGAGAGAAAAGGGCATACGGTTCGTGCTTTTTGTAAAGCAAGCGGTCTGAAAACAAAACCGGGTTAATTTTGAATACCGAAATTCTCGTTTAGTTTGAGCTGGATTCTGTACTCCTATTTAAGACAAACCGGCCCGGGCTTAAGTGAAATTCCTATAAGGTCCCTACTTCAGTATTTTGTGTTATTTATGCTCGGGATTCGCATAAAGCTGCCCATTTTAATTTTTGTTGTAGAAAATTCATTACCCAAATGATTTTTTTTTCCTACATTTAGCAGAGTAATTTTTTTTAATTTAAATTTCGAACCAAAATTAGAAAAGAATATTCTTTTTAAATTAAAAATTCAGAGTGGGTGTATTTTTAAACTTGTAAAATATAATTATAACACCCATTATTCAATTTTTTTTTAAGACTAAAGTAGTAATTGGGTTTCTTTATTTTAAGTAGATTTTTTTCCGAGTGTTAATCTAATCTAATATTAATATACATATGTATATAAAATCAAGGTGTTCAAAGTCGAATCCAACTTAAATATACCAATATTAAATCCAATAATTTGATAGATTAAATTGATTTTATACGTAAAATAATTATAGAGCACTTATCTTCCTTTAATAAAGATAGTTTTTAATCTGATAAATATTTTTATTGGGTATGTTAACATTATAAATATTTAATTCGTGCTTCAAAAAAAAAAAAAATTGAGAATTTAAATTATTATTGTTATGATTTTAGTTCATTATAAAATCAATTATTCAATTTGAAATGTCATTAAAATCTGGTTAAATTTATTAATTTACAATTAACAATGTATGTTAAGTGTATATATACTCCATCAAATGATTTCTTCCAATTAAAAAATTTGCGCTGTAAATGAAAGCTGTATTCCAACTTCCAAGTGGGAAGAAAATTTTATTCGTGAAAAAGTATTTGTTTATTTATTTTTCTCTAAAACAAAGTAAAGTTTTACCAACTACATGAGACTTTTCTATTTACATAAATACCAACATGAGAAATTAATGTTCTTTCTTTTTCACAGCTACCCTGCCAATAACTTAATCAAAACTCTCTTAATCTTAATTCAGTAGAGAATAGTCCATCCTTTGCCAAATAAATTAATTCATCAGCCAGCAATACTGTCAGGCATAAGGTAGAGAAACTGGTACTAACATTCGATAAAATACTGTTTTATTACATTAAATCAAGTAAACAATAATAAATTCGGATATTCTACTAACAGTACCTGACACCAATGAGTCTGGAACCAAAGACAATATGTAAAGTAAGAAACAAGTATTATAATACTATTATATATTACCCGAATGGGAAACAAAACACAAAATTATACGATGATGCTTTTATCTTTCAAGTATCTCTATTCTACCTCAACCCTGCAAATATTCTCCTTGTATAATGCCCTTTTGAGACTTCTTTTTCTCGTTTATGCCATAGCAGGCATGTCCTTGAGCCATGCATCCAGTGGCTTACCAATGGAGTAAACTATGAACCCAATTTGCCTCAGCTTCTCCATATCCACAACATTCCGACCATCAAACACAAATGCTGGCTTCTGCATGTTGTCATAAATCCTCTTGTAATCAAGGTTTCTGAACTCATCCCACTCAGTGAGTATGCAAATCCCATGAGAATCCTTTGTTGCCTCATAAGCATCCCAAGTAACTTTAACTTGCTTGACAGCAGAAGGGCTCATTGGCTGAAGATGAATGGGATGGTCCCATTCATACTTGTTCATTGATAGATCCCTCATTATCTGTTCCTCAGGAACCTGAGGGTCGTATATGCTCAACATTGCCTTGTCACCCAACAGCCCTTTGCAGACATCAATGGCAGGGGTCTCTCTAGTGTCACCAGTGTCCTTTTTGAAAGCAAATCCTAGAATGGCAATCTTCTTGCCTGAAACTGTGTTGAACATTGAGGAAACCAGACGATTCACAAACCGGGTCTTCTGATAGTCATTCACCTTAATGACCTGTTTCCAGTAATTTGCAACCTCAGGAAGGCCATTGCACTCGCAAATATAGATCAAGTTCAAGATATCCTTCTGGAAACAAGATCCACCAAAACCTACGCTGGCATTCAAGAACTTGGGCCCAATTCTTGAATCCATACCAACAGCATGTGACACTTGGGAGACATCTGCACCAGTTGCCTCACAAAGTGCAGACATGGCATTGACAGAAGAAATCCTCTGTGCCAAAAAGGCATTAGCAGCAAGCTTTGAGAGCTCAGCAGACCACAGATTGGTGCATATAATCCTGTCCACAGGAACCCAATGAGCATAAACATCTTTCAGAGCTTGAATTGCCTTTTTACCTTCTGGGGTTTCCCTCCCACCGATGAGGACTCTGTCAGGGTTATAAAGGTCACTAATGGCAGTTCCCTCAGCAAGGAATTCTGGGTTGGACAAAATTTGGAAATTAATCCCTTTGGCATTGTGCGTCAAAATCTTTTCTATAGCCTCAGCTGTTTTCACAGGGACTGTTGATTTCTCAACAACAATTTTATCAGATTTGGACACATCAGCAATCATACGTGCTGCACTCTCCCAATAGGTCAAATCGGCAGCCTTGCCAGCGCCAAGCCCTTGAGTTTTGGTGGGGGTGTTAACAGAAACGAAAATTATATCAGCCTCGGAAACATGTTTCTCCACATCAGTACTAAAGAAGAGATTATTCCCTCTGCACTTTTTGACAACCTCTTCAAGGCCTGGCTCATAGATAGGAAGTTGATCACTATTCCAAGCCTGGATTCGTGACACGGAGATATCAACAACAGCTACTGAAATGTTTGGGCACTTCAGAGCAATCACAGCCATGGTCGGCCCACCCACATATCCAGCTCCAATGCAACAGATCTTTACCATTTTTTATAATCTATAAAATACAAATACAAACAAAGTTATAATTTTAGTATACACAATCAAAACAAAAACAAAAACTAATACGAAAGAACAACAAAATTCTGATCAAACATTCAGCAAATGAATCATCTTGTTTCTGTCATAAAATTGAATTACGTTTAAATATTCAAAAACGACAGTTAATTACCGAAGGATGATTTATACACTTAAATTTCGTTTGAATATTCTAGTGTTTGTGTTAAATTGTTAATGTTAAAGAGAGAGATCAGATCTGGGAACATTAAAATAAACCGATCAAGATCTCCAAACAAAAAGAAATGGAAATCTGTGAAAATGAAATGAAAAGCATTCCCATTTTATAAACAAGCAAATTGGAGCATCGCCACCTTCTAAAATTACAATTCAAACAAACAACAGATATGCGCTTATTAACACACCAATGGAATATAAAATAAAATCACGACAAACAAAAAAGGAAAAAAGAATTGACCTGAAAGCAAAAACACGCAGAAGAAAGAAAGAGATCAAGGTACCTTGTTCTGCGTGAGATTTAGATCTAAATAGAAGAATGCTTATAGAGGAAATGAGATGTAGGTGGCGAAGAATGAGGAGATCTAAAGGCTGTGATTTGTATTTATACCCATTAAGTCCCCATAATTAAAGGATGTTTTAACCTTCTAACACGTTGCATTCTCTTCATTAACCCTTAATTATATTCTTCTTTTTGTTTAGTTTTTAGATGAGCCACCGACACAAAACTTAGATTCGAGCGACCCACCCTTCATTTTTGTCTTGCTCTTGTTATACATATTTATTTAATTGAATAAAGGACTTTTTACCATCCAAGGTTTGCTTTAATAACATTTTCCATCTAAAAATTTTAAAATATCACTTTTTCATCCAAAGTTAATTCTTTTTGTCACTATTATTTAAATCTTTAGTTTTCTCTCTACAAAACCCCTCTCACTCAGTTACTTGATTTCCTGTCAATTGCCAACTATCGTACAGTTAAAATTTTCTATTTTTAGTTGATTTACGACTGATTTCGACAGCAAATATTCAATCGGTTATCACCATTTAATCTATTAGTCTCTACTTTATAAAACCCTTCTTATTTTGACTCATGGTAACTTGCCAAATACCAATTGAGAAGGTAAAGTATATTTTAGATATTAACTGTGTATAAATTTTGGATGAAAAAGTTATATTTTAAAATTTTTTGGGTGAGAAAAGATCATTTACTCTTATTTAATTTCATTTGAAAGTGGGACCGTAACATTCTTCTAGATCTTCTCAGAGATATTTTTAATAATATAGATTGAAAGTAGTATAAATTTCTGAAATGTACGAATTAAAAAATAAGATTGACATATTAAATAATATTATTATTATCGGCTCCCTTTGCTACATAGTTTACCATTCTAGTTTTCAATAAAGTTAAACAAAAAAATTGTTTTTGTTCACTTATTCTCAAAATATTATTTTATATTATTTAATTTTTTTTAAACTCTCTAAATTTGTTAATTTAACTAAACAATCCCAAATTTTTTTAAAAAAATTAACAAAAACACCCTAACAACCCATATTTACCAGATTCTGACCACCACTACCAGAAACTGACCGAAATCTGGTATAATGGCGTACTACCAGCTGAATCTGACCGATAGTGTATCGATCTAGCCTTTTCTGGCCAGATCCACAGTGGATCTGGTCGAAAAAAACCAGATCTTTGGCCGTAGACAGTTGTCAACGACGGCCAAGATATGGTCATTGTTGACCATCAACGACGGCCGTATCTTTGGCCATCGTTGACAACCAAATACGATCTGGCCTTTTCGTGAATCTGGCCAGAAAAAGTCATATCGGTGCACGACCGTGGATTTGACCAAAAAAGGTCATATCGGTACACGACCGGCAAGATCTAACTGGTCATGTATCGATACGACGACTCCGACCACCCTCTGGCAGTAGTGGCCGGCTGTCAGTATTAAATGGGTGGATTAGAGATATTTTTGTTAACTTTTAATATCTTATTATAAGGGTGTTTAGTAAATAAACAAACATAGGGGGTATTTTTGTTAATTTTCAAATTCTACATCGTAATATCTACCTAATTTAACTTTTTTTTAAATATTATTCTAAAACCTATCAGAATAATGAACCAAACGGATCTAATATTTTTATTTTTTTAATTAA